CCTATTCCCACTTCTCCTGTTATCAAACCTTACTTCCCCCTCCCCTCCCCCTCCCCCTCCCCCTCTCTGTACCTCAACACCTCCACTGCAAATATTGCCTCGTGAAGTGCACTGGGATTGCCTGAGATTTATAGCGAGCTAATATAGGGATTTACGCGATAAATATCCGAGTTATTTTTAGACAGAGGCGAAGAAAGGATGACCAGAGAGGAGGGAGGATAAACAATGGGAGAGAGAGAGAGCGAGGGAGAGATGGGGAGAATGCGAGATGGAGAAAGGGGGAAAGGGAACGACAGATAAAGAAGAGAGTTGGAGAATCGAAGGGATATGTAAAAAGGATATGATAAAGAAGAGATGTGCCCGTCAGTGAGTAAAACAGCCAAACAAGCAAACACGCAAATGTGCTATCAGACACCCACAAAACACACACACACACACACACACACACACACACACACACACACACACACACACACACAAGCACACACACACACACACACACACACACACACACTTACACACACACACACACACACACACACACACACAACCCGCCTATATAGATGCGCGTGCGTGTATATATATATATATGTGTGGCAGGGAAGGGACGTTAAATGCGAGTGTGCCTGAGCGAATGAAACATAAATCCACACGATTGATGGAAATGGAATATGGGAATTTGAGATTTTCCGCTCTTATTCCCGGATTAAATCACATTTTTTTGTAATGAGGGATTAAATACGAACCCAATAGGATATACAGAGATAGCCATTCAAGGTGATGGAATAAATGCTTTGTTATTTCAGCTCTATTATGGAGGAAGAGAGAAATCAAGAGAGAGAAATTAAGAGGGGGGGGAGGGGGGGAAGGAGGGAGGGAGGGGGGAGAGGGAGGGAGGGAGGAAGGAAGGGAGGGAGGGAGAGAGTCAGAGACAGAGAGAGAGAGAGAGAGAGAGAGAGAGAGAGCCAGAGAGAGAAGAGAGAGAGAGAGAGAAGAAACAGAAACAGAGAGAGAGAGAGAGAGAGAGAGAGAGAGAGAGAGAGAGAAATAGAGAAACAGAGAGAGAGAGAGAGATAGACAGACAGAGACAGAGAAAGAGAGAGTTATGTATACAGAGAGAGGGAGACAAACAAAGAAGGACGAAGGGAGAGGGGGGGGGAGAGAGAGAGAACAAGCACATGCCTGCTTCCCGACGACGAGTTTTAGTCACACCAGTATCAACTGCCATTTATCTCAAATAATTTCCCAGAAGAGATAATACATCCTTCTAAGAACTGACGCTGACACTGAGATCAGTCGAACGTCCTCTGTGCCCCTGTTCACAATTAACAACTACCTGCCTAAACCTCTGCTCACCTGCCTGTCCTGTCACAGTGTCCTACAGTCTCATTAAGGAGCAGCTCTAAATTGACGTTCGAACGAACCTCCTACCTTGCTGGTTCACATTTTCTCCTGCGTATATGTCCCTTTTAAACATTTTTTTTTTTTTTTTTCATTCGATTTATTTTCTCTTCAACCCTTGAATTGGTCGCTGTATATTTGTTTCTCAATTTCTCTTTTTTCTCTTTCTTTTTCTCGCCTCTTCTCTTCTTTCATTCGATTTATTTTCTCTTCAACCCTTGAATTGGTCCCTGTATACTTGTTTCTCAATTCCCCTCTTCCCCTTTCTTTTTCTCGCCTCTTCCCCTTTCGTTTTCTCGCCTCTTCTCCGCCGTGAGAAATATCGTTTGAATCCATTTTGACGCACAAGCGATCGCTGGTCACTTCGTTAGGCTGTGTTCCTGCCTGGCCTTCTGAAGACGCGAGGTTTTTTTTCTTTCGGGAAATTCTTCCTAATAAGATCTTTTAAATCTTCCTGGCGGGATATATAGACACACCTGGAGGGATATATGTGTGTGTATGTGCGTGTGTGTGTGTATGTGTGTGTGTGTGTGTGTGTGTGTGTGTGTGTGTGTGTGTGTGTGTGTGTGTGTGTGTGTGTGTGTGTGTGTGTGTATGTGTGTGTGTGTGTGTGTGTGTGTGTGTGTGTGTGTGTGTGTGTTACATTATACAAATACTCAGCAAGCAAATACCTTGAATTTTCAATTGAATCACAAACGTTCGCCCTGATGAA